TAAATAGCACGATTGTGAAAACGACGTATAACTACTGGCGGGGCCCACGGCTGATACGCATCGGGGCCCAGTATGGCCTCGTTCCTCTTTTTGGCTCGTCAGGATTACCAGCTGGTGACATTTTTAATGACATATTCGTGCGTGTGTACAGTATAGGTGCCTTCGACCGCTTTATCGTTGAGCATCCCGAAGTCTGGCTTTCGTCTTACGTGGACGACAACAGCGTGACGAGTGACGGCACTGAGCAGCAGGTGCTATCACGGATTTCAAAGGCTGCTGCGGCCCTGCTGATCATTTTTCGTGAAGAGCTTAAGGTGGACGTCCACCCAGACAAGATCTGCACGTTCGCGAGCAATCAAGGTTTGGCCAACAAACTTGCTCGACTGTTGGGAAGGATGGCGGGCCAAGTCAGCACGGGAATCGTTTCGTTAGGATCGGATCTTGCCCCAGGTAGGCGTAGAGGTGCGAGGCGAGCCACGTGGAAGCGCAAGCAACGCTTCCAAGATATGCGTAGACGCCACCGTGTGCTCCAGCGTTACACGAGAGCCCTCCCCCGCCAGCGAGGTAGGATGGGACAAATCTACACTGCTGGAGTTTTGCCAGCGGCCACGTTTGGATCGGCGATTGTGGGGGTTAGCAACGGAGAGCTTTGGGAAGGTCAACGAGTGCTTCTTAGTTACAAACCCCCTCGGCACAAGGGATGCTCTCTGAGGGCGAAGCTGGCCATCCTTGGAGACCCTATGTGGAGACCTGCTGTTGCCCCCGTGCTCCAGTGGGCTGCTGTTGTTTGGACGGCCATCACTAGTCCTGAGTCTTCCTTTCACACTGTGAAAGACCTGTGCGGTTTCTGGCGAGATGTCCCTTTCGATGATAGCACCACGTGGAATAACTCACGTGGGCCTCTTCAGAGGATGCACCTTAGCCTGCACAGGATTGGGTGGACTTCCACCTCGGCTTTGACGTTTCGAGATGACTAGAATCGTGAGATTTCTTTGGCCTGCACCTCCCCCTCCATGCTTTCGTTTTTGTTGGACTTGGCTACTCAGAGATCCCACGAGAGAGCGTTAGCCGAGAGCACTGAGGGGTTCCAAGGGACCCGTGTCTGTGTTGAACCCTTGAAAAAGCTGTTGGGCCCCAGGGGGAAGGGACTCTCTCAACGAGAAAAATATCTGGCGCTCACGGTTTTCTGCCAAGGAGTTTGGACGCGAGCAAGGGCTCGCGCATGTGGTTATAGCACTGCAGGAGACTGCCCTCTTTGCGGCCTTCCCGATAGTGTTCGGCATCGAGCATGGAGATGCCTTCACCACGAAGCTGTCAAGGCACGAGCTGAAGCGCTAGGCGACGAGCTTCCCGCCTGGTATGCTGAGGCTTTGGACGGCGAAGATAGGAAGTTCTTCGATGAAATGAAATGGGAGCACCCCGAAAGTACCTGCCCCCCCCCCCCCCTCGACGAACCCGAACCCCACCCTCTTCGACGGTGAAGGTAAGGAGGTTCCTTGGGATTCGATTGACCTTCGGGGGCTCGATGTTTGTGTTGATGGCTCGGCGTTTCGGCGCCCGATTCGTGAGCTTTCGAGGGCCGCCTATTCGTGGGTCTTCCTGGGGCCCGAGAATGATAGGAGGGTTGCCACTGCCCAAGGTACTGTTCTTGACACCCTCCCCCAGACCCCCCAAGCTGCTGAACAGCAGGCGATGGCCCTCCTCCCCCATGTTCCAGGACTACGGGGGGGGCAGGTACGGGGATAGCATGACGGTAATCAAGATGTGCACGTCGCCCGCGGTCAACCAGTGCTCGAGGAAACACCGTTATGCTGGCCTAAGACGTGGATCTCTTTTGCACGAGCGAGCTGGACACCAGCCGCAGTTTCATCACACTCCAGCACATCGTGCGCTGGCCAAGATTGACGAGCTACCCGCGGGAGAGAAGAGAATCGCGCTGGGAAGCTGGTACGCAGATGCCCAGGCCAAGAGAGCTCTCCTCGACCATCCCCAACCCTCCTCAGCTGAAGAAAAAGAGGTTGAGTGCAGGCTCAGTCAGTTAAAGACAATTGCCCGAGTTATGGGTGCAGTTTTATGAGTTTTTCCTCTAGAGAAGTTTGACCGTGTTACGAGTTCAGGTCCGAGGGCCAAGTTTTGGAAATCTGGAGGTTGGCACGCGTGGCAAGAGTTAGGTAATGATCGTGCGCGATGCCTCAGATGTTTAACCCTCGCTAGAGACCAGGACTCCAGACCCATGATAGGCTGTAAAGGCATGAGTAGGACCTTGAAGCGAACACTCGACATGTCTCTTGGCCACACACTCGCACATTGTACGGTTGTTCGAGGAACGGAGCAGAAGGTTTTGTTTTTTCTGTACTGTCTGCGGGGCCTATTCCACCCGCAGATGCAGACTCTTAGGCCGAGAGTACCAGCAACGAAAGCTTGCTGGAGGTGCCACGAGTCTACGACGCATCTGCGACGGTCTTTTTCCTCAAGCCAATGTTCAGGCTGAGGTTTCGACAACTTCTCGGAGAGGAGTTGCCAATCTGTGTTACGCTGCCGCGTTGCCACCGCCCGAGGAGGTCACGCTGCACCAGCCTGCGATGACAGGCCTCGTCCAGACGGGCGGGACGCGAGCGATCAGCCAGCGTGTGCTGGTCAGAGAGGAAGCTGCTAGGGCAGCTGCCTCCTCAAGCACGTAGGCTTAAACAAACATGGTTCGGCCCCACGGGGACAACACAAAAAAAAAAACTACAGGGGGAACATTGAAACAGTAAAAAAATCGTCAGGGGACGATTTTTCACCATTTTTGAAGATTTTTGTAGTATTTCTCCATTATTTCTAAACTTTCGTCAAAAATTGGCCTGAGGGGAACAGGCCCGACCTAAACATAAGGTTGATGGGCCTGCTTTCCACCTTCACCTCCATAAGTTGGAGGGGGACGGAGGTGGAGGAGGAGGAGGCGGAGGAGGAGCACGAGGACTCCCTCCCCCTCCTACTTCTGGTGGTGGTGGTGGTAAGCAAGCCCACCAGAGGTCACTCTTACCCAGGGTCGCTGCTGCGTGTTGTCGAAACGTATGGTGCACTCTGCAGAGGTCAGAGTGGAACTTGTAGGTAGGACAAGGGCGGATCAGGAAGGATGATGACGATGATGGTGATGATGGTGATGATGATGATATTGATGATGATGATGATGGTGATGGTGCTGATGAGGACGATGATGATGATGATGATGATGATGATGATGATGGTGGGTGTGGTGGTGGTGGTGGTGGCGGTGATGGTGATTGTGGTGACGATTACGATGATGATTGCGCTGGCGATTGCAAGGGCGATGCCGATGAGGAGGGTGATGGCCGTGATGATTGTGATGATGATGATGATGATGATGATCAGATGATGATTATGATTATGATCATGATCATGATCATGATCATGATGATGATGATGATGATAATGATGGGGATGGCCATGACGGAGGTGATGGTGATTTTGGTGACGCTTATTCATGGTGCTGATGGCGGTGATGACGACCAGGGTGATGCGGATGACGATGTTGAATAGGATTCGACTGATTATGGTTTGATTGTTGTGGTGCTGTTGGTAGCGATGGAAGCTCTAATGGATGAATGCTGATCGATGGCGGTGGTGATGTCCATCACTGTGATGAATCTATTGACGAGGGTGCCGACGATGCAAATGTACACGGTGGTGGTGATGATGGTGATGATGATTATGGTATGGTGTTGATGTTTATGTTGATCGTGGTGGTGATGGTGTCAGTGATCATGATGTTGTTGGTGATGCTGGCGATGTTGACGGTTATGGTCGTGGTGATGTTGTTGTCCGTGTTCATGTTGTTGTCGGTGTTGGTGATGGTGACGGTGGTAGTGGTGGTGTGGTGTTGGCGATGATGGTGTTGATGCGTTTGCTTGTGATCATGGTCATGACGACGATGATGATTGTGATAATGGTGATGATGGTGATGGTGCTGGTGATGATGATTTTTGGCGACGATGACGATGACGAAGACGATGGCTGTAAAGATGATGATACTGACTGGACTGATGAGGTTCGAAATGATGGTGATGCTGATGCTGGTGATGATGATGAAGATTACGACGATGCTGATGATGATGATGATGACGATGTCGATGGCGATGATGCTGATGATGATGGTGATGGTGGTGAGGATGATGATGGTTATGAAGACGCTGCGGCTGCTGATGAGAATGATCAGGACAATGATGATGATGGTGGTGAAGGTGACGACGATGATGATGATGCTGATGATGGCGATGATGATGATGATTGTGATGATGATGATGATAATGACGATGATGACTGATATTGATGATGAGGATGGTGAGGATTATAATGTTGGTGATGATGCTGATGTTGATGGTGATGATGATGATGATGAAGATGCTGATGATGGTGATGATGCTGCTGCGGCTGCTGATGATACTGATGAGGACGATGATGCGAACGACGATGCTATGCTGATGCTGATGATGACGATACTGATGATGCTGATGATAATGGTGGCGGTGGTAATGGTGATGGCAATGGTGATGGTGATGATGATGGTGCTGCTGATGATGCTGTTGATGATGGTGATGATGCTGCTGCTGATGCAGCTGCTGCTGCAGATGCTGCTGCATATGCTGATGATGCTGTTGCTGATGATGAGAAGAGAGAGGAGGAAAAGGAGGAGCAACATGACGATGATGATGATGATGATGATGATGATGATGATGGTGGTGGTGGTGGTGGTGGTGGTGGTGGTGGTGATGATGATGATGATGATGATGATGGTGATGAGTTTGACGACGATGACGATGACGATGACGATGAGGATGAGGATGAGGATGAGGATGATGAGGATGAGGAGGAGGATGAGGAGGATGGAGGAGGTTGAGGAGGAGTTGGAGGAGGAGGAGGAGGAGGAGGAGGATTAGGGGAGGAGGGAGAAGAGAGTTCGGGCCCCTCCCCCCTTCCCCTCGGAATGGGCGCCTCAGGAGAAAGAGGACCGCATGGGCGCGGGAAAGGTCGAGGCCACCCACATCAAGGTGGTCAAGGAGCACCTGCAGGGCAGTCCTCAGAAGGGAGAGGAGGTTGAGGAGGAGTTGGAGGAGTTGGAGGAGGAGGAGGAGGAGGAGGAGGAGGAGGAGGAGGAGGAGGAGGAGGAGGAGGAGGGGGAGAACGAGGAGGAGAAAGAGGAGGACGAGGAGGAGGAGGAGGAGGAGGAGGAGGGAGGAGGAGGAGGAAGAGGAGGGAGGAGAACAAGGAGGAGAAACATGAGGAGACAAATGATGATGAGGAGGAGGAGGAGGAGGACAGCGACGAGAAGGAGGGCCCGTTGGAGGAGGAGCGGGTGGAGGAGGACGAGGAGGAACTCGAGGAGGAGGACCAGGATGAGGAGGAGAAAGCCCTGGAGCGAGATGAGGAGGAGGCGTGCTCGACCAGGCCCCGTCCTAGGGCCACCGCCCGTGGGGGCCTCTCCCCCCACACAGGCGCGCCCCTTGGACCGCGCACGGCCGCGGGCGACCCCGCCGCCGTGGCCCGCCCTGTTCGCCGCCGCCCCCCCGTCCTCGTCCCCGCGCCGCCGCCGCCGCCGCCGCCGCCGTCGGCGGCGCCCCAGCCGCCACGCCTCGCCGCGGCCGCGGCGGCCGCCCCAGGAGGCCGGCGGCGGCGGCCGCGACCGGGGCGGCCGCGACAGGGGCGGCCGCCGCCGCGGCGGCAGCTCGGACTCGCGCGACGACGGCGAGTACAGCTAGAGCGGGGCGCCGCTGCGGCTCCGCCGCCCCCCATCGGCGTCGTTCGCGGCGAGAGATCAGGGGAGAGAGAGGTACTCCAGATTTCGTAATAAAAGGGAGGGGGTCTGGACCCTCCAAGACAAGCCATTTCAGACCTCCCCCGTGGGAGAACCCTCCAAAACATCGTCCCCAGACCCCCCAGGCACTCCAAGATAGCCTGGAAGAGACCCAGACCCCCCCGAAATGAGACCCCCCTCCCTTTACTACGAAATCTGGAGTGCCCATACCTCTACCCTTCGGCCGTTTCCCCCTTCCTGGGCCTCCTGGGAGGCCCTCGTCGCCACCGCCGGGCTCGCCTCGAGATCCTGGTCAGGGCGCACGGCGGGAGAGGTCCCGGGGGGTAGCGGCATCGGTGCCTCTTGGTTTCTCCAAGGGAGAGCCACGTGACCACAGCAATAGCCAGCGCACAGGTGCTAAGTCATTCTAGTCCTTCCCCTCTTTCTCAACGAGGGTAGAAGAACCCTTAACCCGAATAGCACAGTGGCCTCACTTAGGTTTCAGTTTTTACATTCGGGGTCATAGGTGTGGGCGGCTTGGTTTGATACAGCTACAGAGCAGACCAGGTCCCCCATCCCTAATCGTCTGGCCCCTCCGGACTTAGGTCCCCTCCCACAGGGTTAGGAGTAGTTTTATTGCTACTCATCTTTGTCCCTGGGATGCTAGTGGCAGCCTCGAGGCACCTGTGGGCGCCGCCGCCCACAGGTGCTTCGGGTGCTGGCCCCGTGGGAGTCTTCGGGGCGCCTGGCTCCAGAGCTCAAACGATGTGTTCTTCTGAGTCTTTGTACAGGCGCTCCTGGCCCAGGCCTGGAGTTATATTTACACCAGTCCAGGGCCCAGGCTGGACCTGGCCAGGGCTGGTGGTGGTGTATTGTTGGCGTCCCTCCAAGTAGTCACTCTTGGCATCGCTCGGACGTGTGCATTTTTCCTCGGCGGGGGCCATCGAGGAGCATCCTTGATCATCTGGCGGAAAAGCCACGCACGAAGCCGAAAAAGCACAGGGAATGGACGTCCGAGCGATGGCCAGCACCCTGCGAGTGGTGGCACGCGCTCGTCTAGAAGAGGACGACCCCGCTGCTCGGAGGTCCGGGGCGGGCCTCCGCGGGGAGCGGTCGCAGCAGGTGCTCCCGAGGCCCTCGCGAGGGGGCACCACTCGGGCCGCTCATCGGGGGGCCTCCGCGGAGGCCCGCCCTCGGGAGGCCCTTCGCCGAGGCTCTTCGCCGAGGGCCGCCTCGTGGAGGGGGGCGATGCGTTGGGGGGAGGGGGGCAGGTGCGGGCCCTGGAGGCCTGGAGGTCGCTCCCCTCCTGGGCCCGAGAGGGCCCCCTTGATGGGGCCCTGGAAGGCGGCTTTCCTGCAGCCTTCGCGCCCCCCGCCCCCCACATGCACACACACACAAACACACACACACACACACACACGCCCACGCACGCCCGCGCACGCCCACGCACGCCCACGCACGCACGCACGCCCGCACGCACGCACGCACGCGCACACGCGCACACGCACACGCGCGCGCGCGCACGCGCACGCGCACGCGCGCAGACGCGCACACACACACACACACACGCACACACGCGCACACACGCACACACGCACGCACGCACGCACACGCACACGCACACGCACACGCACACGCAC